CCCCAAAACCCCAAAACCCCACTATACCTTATCTTAAAGAATAAGCAAATCTATTTAATTATGAAAATTATAATAGCTCAGCTTATTTAAATTATCACATAGATGTCTCATTATCTTAATTATACATATCAAATTTAAATGTTTTTTATCTATCTATTGCTCGCTCTTCTAATTTCGTATTTTGTTTGGGATAGGTACATCAGAATAATTTTAAGGATAAAATACTATGAGAAATAAGGAGTAAAGTTCCATGAATTTGTACCGTTCTTTGGAAGTTACCCAGGCATCATGAAATTTATCAAGGAAAAGGATCCCAAAAGATTCCCTACGATAGACTATCTTAAGCATTGTTTTGGCCTTCCTCTGCCATTATATACAGGCTTTATTAGCACAAGAGTACTTTATCTTTATATAAACAGTCATGAACCCCTCTAAGAATTATTCGTGACAAAAAATAAATATTTTGACAAGCATCCTTCCACTTCTACATTTTTGAAAAAGACTGTGGGAGACAGTACTTTATTCATGAAATCAAACGAACTTTGGGCTAAGAAGAGAAGATCTCTCTCTGCTTCACTTTACAAATAAAAGTTGGTTCAAATGGTTGAAACAATGAAGCAGATTGGACTAGAAACTATTGAAGAATGGGGTAAAAGAGGCGAAATTGACATTGTTACAGAAACTGCTAACTTAATGATGAAAAATACCCTTGCCTGTGTATTTGGTAGATAAAATGAAAACCCTATAATAAAATACAAAGAAAATGGCTAAATCAGAGACATAAGATTAGGAGAAAGTATTCAACAAAATTTAAGTAATGCATCACTTAGAGAGTTCTAACTTCATCTTATGATCTTTCCTGAACTCCTACCCATTTACATAACTAAGCATGATAAAGAGCTAGAATTCAATTTAAACCAAGTCATCGATTACATCAAGAATCTGATCAGAGATAAAAAGGAAAAGTTTGCTTAGACTGGCTAGTACGAGGGTGAAGACTTGCTGACGATTATGCTTCAAGATGAGTTGTTTAAATAGGACGACAGAATGATAATAGATGAGTGCTTGACCTTTTTTAATGCAGGTGCTTAAACTACTGCTGTGACTCTTGCTAATTTTCTGAGTTACATAGCTTAAAACTCAGATCAGGAGTAAAAAATGAGAAATGAGCTATAGAGTCATCTCAAGAACTTTGGAGGTGACTCTAAAGCTCTCTCTACAGAGATTAATATGGAAAAAGTAGATGATCTATTATACTTGAAGTATTGCTTCTATGAGTCGATGAGAATTGAACCCCCAGTTGTAATATCCTCAAGTTGCTAGGTAAATAAGGATCTAAATATTTAAGGTGTAACTATCAAGAAGGATGAAGCGTTAATTATCAACATTTATCAGATTCATCACAATCAAGATCAATGGATTGAAGATGAAAAGTATATCCCAGAAAGATTCGACCCTGCCTCAAAATATTATCTTACCCCTGCTGGGACTCCCAGGAATCCACTATCATTTATACCATTTATTGGAGGTAAAAGAATATGCTTAGGCAAAACTTTTTCAGAATATACTTTCAAGATAATCGTGCCTTTGCTCCTGAGCAAGCATAAATTTAGATTAGTCAATCAAGATCATATAACTAATAAACCCTAATACGATGCTATTATGTTTAAAAAACCAGTAATTCCTATGAGATTAGAAAAAATTTGATATATTTCCGATTTTTATTAAAAATAATAATCATTGATTGGTATTAGCAATTTTTATATCATGGGGTTTTGGGGTTTTGGGGT